AAAAACCATTTGAACCAATGTAGTCGAGCAAGCTAGCAGCGATGGAGTCTTATAAGTGTATGTTTAGCCCTAGCTTTTCTATGCCATGAAGAACAGTAAGTAAGGTGCAATGCGGCCACAAGAACGCTGATATGAAACTCCAGGATTGATCGCGCTACCCAGTGGCGAAGCCAAGAATTTCCTCAACGGTGTTCAAACTTGAAAGAAGTAAAAAACAATTCCCGACAAAGGGTGTTCGATATATGTTATGTACCTCTAAAACCTGATATTTTACCTATATACGCAATGTAATTTTCCGACAAAGTGTAGCTTCGCCCCTGGCGCAACCCCGATTGGACATATACTAACAGTTGTAGTAACTGGAATCCTCATGATAATCCAAGAGCACTAGTCGCTCCTGATTCCAGTATGCACAGGAAGCAACAAGATCTTGAGCTCTTTCTATAGGAAACTAGGCATTTGATGGATCATATACTTCACATGCTCCCAAATACAAATGATAAACTATGTGTAACTCTTTTAACCCTAAAAAGCAGTCACAAGGGAGTGAGATAAGACATAAGAAGCATTATTCAAGGCAATCGACAGGGTGTAAAAACAACCCTCTCCATCAGCTCTACCTCATGGCATGACCAATAAAGCATAATGATCCTCGGGAAAGAAAAAGAAACTGACAACCTACATGTAAGATGTAACAGCTAATACGAAGACATGTTTAATAATTCAACTTCTTTAGAGAACAACTCTCCATTTCGCAATAGAAAATGTAGTAGGAATTATATAAATGTCACTTTTCGAAGAATAAAGAGTGAAAGTGAGAAGCATTATTCAAGGCAATCGACGGGGTGTAAAAACAACCCTCTCCATCTGCTCTACCACATGGCATGACCAATAAAGCGTAGACAGAGTAGCTCACCGTCTTTCTCCACAATCGAAATAAATCGCCTTGATCCACCACCGACACCAAAATAATGCTTCTTTGCAGCTAGATATACAATCCCATGAGGACTATGTAAGCACTGTACAAAGAAGAAAAAGGACGGAAAGAAAGAGATAGCTTAGAAGTGAGGAAATTCAATGGCAAAACTATATTAAAACTTAAACCAAAACAAACCTTTATAATAAGTTTGTACAGAGTAGGTAGAGTAGAAACTGAGTAAACTGTCTCTGCCATGAGAATTATATCATAACCAGCAGTCTTATCAACTGTTTCGCAGCTTTTTGAGCCACCGCCATCAGCAAGTACATGAGGAAGAATCAGATGAGCTTCACTCCAATCACTAGCAAAGAAGCGAACTTCAGCGCTATTATTGTCATCTTTGGCCAACGGGTTTTGCTGAATATTGGCATTGACATTTGGAATTGTTAGGCATTGCAGCACCTCAGCATTGAAGTCATGAAAATGTACAGCACGAGCACCCTAGTACACCAAAAGCAAAATGCTTAATCAAGAGGACGACGAGACAAGCAATCACAAATCACTCCAAGCATTTATGTACCTTCAGACAGGCAAAGATTCCAGGAAGACCATGACCACAGCCAAGCTGAAAACAAAGAGAGTCAACAAGTAAATAATGTGAGATAATTAAAAGAGTCAAGTACTAAGTCATATTTAGTTGGAAAAGCAGAGCATTAGGGTGTCGATCCTTAGGACAATCACAACAGAAGCTAATAGCAACCCTGACAGTGACAATAACCATTACAAACTCTTATTTCAATGAGCAAAATGAAAATGTTATAACGACACATTATAGAAAACAACATTTTCACTGGCAATCACAAATTTTAACTCAAATGATTATGTTCAATCAAAAAGGGGAGGGGGAAAATTTTTTAAAGAAAAGACCAACCAAACAAACGAAAGAAGGAGAAGACTTCTAATAATGAGAAACCTGAGTCAAGTGACAAGGGACTAATCGGACTCGGAGATGCAAAATTTCCTCTCCTAGAGATGGTTCCTCTGGGTACTCAATAGAAACTTCTACTCTCATAATTGATAAGAACTTAAACAAGTATAGTATAAAAGATCAAACATGTGAATTGTATAAGCAAAGAAAATGCCGCTAAACGAAAAATACTTTAGTATGCTTAATGAACAATATGACCCTACTACTTGCATACAATAATTCGGACATCATTTTGACTAAAACTGCAATGAGAAGGTAAATGGAAATAACCAACGCAAGAGTGGATTTAATAAGTTAGGATTAGCAGTCTCTACGCATAGCAGAAGATAAAAGATTCACCTCCACAATAGGAGCCCACCTCTAAAACTCTTTTTCCAGTCAGTGACAATTGCCCACTTTGCATCTCAGAGCTCAGAGTCTTCACTAAATCTAATGAACCTTCCCACAATTTCAGCCCGCCTGCAAAATGAGAATAACACAAATGAGAATCAATCATCTAGGTGCACTTCACATCCTAACTAGTGATCAATCAGCGCTACCGTAACTTTCCTCTAATGGACTTGCCAATCATTAGTGTCTAACTGGGTGTTGACAAGCATAAAATTTCTGTAATGAGTTGTTTCTTTATCAATTTAGCTGTATGAGATACATCATGTATTTCTCCATTAATATCAAGCAATAAATATAACCTCGCTGTAACCAAACCCACATGAACAGAAACCAGCCAACAGTATATCAAACTTTGAAATCCAGAACAGAAATTATAGAGTGTGTTAGTGAAGATATTACTCACGCTAGAGTTGCAGATGGCTTCTATCTCCTGAGTCATGTTTCTTTTGATGCAACATCAAAAGTTGTAGACTAAGATTGTGCAAAAGTAGGTCTTTCCTTATTATTTGAGAAGTTTATCATTAATTCGTTACTATGATTCCTCTTAGAAAAAGAATAATTTTATTATAAAAAGTTGTTCCATTTAATTGAAGATGGTTTTCTAGCTATAAGTTAATTAATCAACTGCGCCTCAATTTCTTATCAAGTTGGGTCAACTATATGAACTCTCTTTATCTATTACTCCATTCAGGTCCATTTCGCTTCCAATATCAAATATTATCTTTTATAGTAAAATTAGGACTCTCTAAATCTCACTTATTCCTTCATGGATAACTAGTTAATTCTCAACCAATCTATATGGATATTTTTCTCCCATTTTAGGTCCTTTCATATAACTTCCCTTTGATGTAACTTTAGGTTTACCTCGTTTCCTTAAAAACACAATCGCAACCATCATTTGCCACACATATGAAAAGGTACATTTGAAAATCTTTGTCGGACATGATCAAACAATTGCAGGAGACCTCATTTTATCCTTCTATGACTATGTGTGCTACTTTTACAGTTTTACCCTCTGTCAGATCCGATCATTTTTAATCATGTCCAACCTTATATGGTTGCACATATATCTTTGCACAAGTATTCATATGAAAATTCATTGTGGATATTTTGGACTTAGAAGCACAACATTAATTCATATAACGTGCTAGAAGATTGACTATTTTCACATTGGCCGTAAACCTACCGCCACACTCCTCTTAAATTTCAAAGTAATTTTTACTGCAACACTACTTTACTTTGTGTCTTTTACGTTGGTTATCTCTACTATTTTGTTGTCACTACTTTTTTTTCCTTCGGTATTTCATCCTTAGCTTTCTACTCTTGTCCTGTTTTGAAAACGCCTTTCTTGAGCCCATGGTCTGCGTTGGGCCCACTTGTAGGATCACACTTGGTATGTGTTGTTGTATTACTTTATTCAACAATAAAAATTGACATATACTACCTACAATTCACGATTTTGTAAACTAAAAATATTCATATTTAAACCACATTCAATTTAATAAAGTTCACACAATTCATGGTGAGGTATTATAAGTAGTTATAATTAGCATGGAGGAGGTAAAATGGAGAACTAAATTGTCACAAACCTTCATATTTGCCGGGTACTAAATCTGAATTAGACAAGCCAAATACTTCCTTTGTACTCACCCTTCCCTAAAACAGAAGTAAACACTAGTTAAAGCAACTAAAGATAACAAATGGTTGGTTATAAAAATTACTTTTAAGTAAAAATTGGCATCTTTATAAAGAAAAACAATGACTGAATTTAATCCAAAAATAAAATACTTTTGAGAAAAAAAACCATTTCCACAATCCAAAGTAACCAAACACTGAAACATAATTTCATCAATATCTTTTGCCACGTAAAAACTTGCTGAACTAGTATTACCTTGAGCAAAGTAAAGCCATCCAAATTTATAGGCTCCACATTAAACACCACATTTGATGACACCTACTCAACCAATTAAAAATAAATTCATTATACTATTGATAATGTAATATGTTTTTTGTATTTGTACAAAAGAAAGTACCTGTGAGGGAAGTAGTTCAACACAAGGAGGTGGAGGTGGAAGAGGCTTGTTTTCTGGGACATCAAGAAATCCTAACCCAAACCCAGATTGGGATTTTTCATCAAACAGACTAAATGGTTCGGGTCCAGTTGCTGACGTGTTCGCCTCCATTGCTAAGCTGAAAAGTTTGAGCTTTCAGTGTTGACGGCAACTGAGGGGAAATTACACGGTAGCTTTTTCAAATCGGACATGATCTTAAACGGGCTTACTTATTGGGTTTCATCTGTTTTGGGCCAACTTAACTCATTGGGGGTTTTGGTACGGTATAACAACGTACCCATATAATTGGCAGAAAATAGCCCTAGTTATAGATAGGAAAATTTTTGTTCCTATACCATATAGGAAACTATATTACGAAAAATATTCATTATTTGCAATTTACCCGCTCTGCTAACAGTTTTTCTACAAAATATAAACAAATCATTAAAAACAGAATCCTGTTAGCTGTACAATTCCTTTAATAGGCACGCGAATGTTGGGATATTAAGGATACTTCCAGATCTTATCAAACGCAAATTTCGCTATTAAATTTCGCCCGTTTCTCTCCAAAATTCACTACTCTGTTTAGGGGTGTGCATTCGAATCGGATTATCGATAAATCGAATTGATTATTTGTTATCGGTTTATTGATTTCGATTTCGATTTCGAAATTTTCCTTATCGATTTATCGATTTCGATTTTGTCCTACCGGTTTATGGATAAACCGATAAGGTATACTAAAAAGATAAATATACCCTTATTTTCTCATACCTTATTCTTCACTCTTCAGCACCGCTTTTGGTTCTTCTTTCACAGGTACATGAAAATCTCACTTACCTGCTCTCTTTTCAGTGATTTGATTATCTTTTTTTTTGGTTTTCTCTCATGCTATTTTGTGCTATATAATTTCTACCTCCACGTTTATTTTTCAGAAAACGTGTCCTGTTGGATCTTGAACTAGCTTCAGATTCCAACTAATAATGGACATCCAAAAAAGATAATTCAAGTTAGATGCCTGCAATTTTCATCTACTGTGGTTCAAAAAGTTATAGTAGCTCTGCAATTCAAGCTCTGTTTTCATCAGCTGGTTTATAATAATAGTACACAGCTAAAATTGGTAAGGATGAAACAGCTCACAATAGTATTATATTATAAGAAATGAAAAAGGATAATTATGAAAAGGCCTAATCATGTTCCAAGAAGGCTAGAACAAAAGATGTATAGTAATGATTAGTATGTCAAAAAGAAGTCTGCCCCACTTTATGTTCTTTCTTGGCGTGCTATTGCTCTTTCTATCCCAAGTATGTCAAAAAGAACTTTTTTGCTTTTACTTTCTCAACATGTTCATAGGCCTGACTTCTTTCACTTTATATAAATATAAATGTAGAAAGAGTCACCACTGGGTTTGGCCACAGAATCCGCTCACCCAGGTAATCCACAGTCCCTCTCTTATTGTATCTATGCTGGCGGTTCAGTACAAACTACAAGTGTTTTGTGAGTTGTGACTTTTCTTTTTAACGGGTATTACTTTTTAACATTACAGACAATTGACCAGTTCTTTTTTGGTGTTATTGATATTTCCTGGATTTGCAGCCATAATTTTTAGGTCAAGAGAGAGGAGTGTTGATTTCGTCTTGCTTTGCTTCATTCAACTCGTTTAAGACTGTAAGTTACATTCTTCATTTACTTCACATGGCTGAAAATGATAAAATTGGTCAAGTGGTTGATGAAAGTATAGGTTCTTAGTTAGGCGTGTTTACAGCGATATACTTTCTGTGGAATCCCGTAAATTTTGTTATTGGTGTAATCGATAACCGAATCGATAAGCTCCAAAAATCGATAAATCGAAATCAAAAAAAACGAAACCTTATTGAAACGATAACGATAAGCATATGTACAAATCGATAATCGATAAATAATTATCGATAAGGGTCAAAATCGAATCGATAAATCGAATGCACACCCTTAACTCTGTTTTTACGACAATACTCTGTTTCACTGGTTTTTCTGATTTCACTATTCAAAAGCAATTAAATTAGCTACAATTCTTCTGTAACAACCGCAATTATGTCGAAAATCCCAATTATGCTTCAATTGAATGGGAATTGGGTTGCTATGGGAGATATAGAGACTTTCAGGTCGATGGAATTGTAGTCGGCGGGGATGCGAGTTATAGCCTATTGAATTATACAATAGCAGAGCATCTAATGATAGATACATCCGAAAAAATAATAGAAATCAAATACATTGTCAACGAAAATTGTCCTCCAATGGAAATTAGGAGGATATGGGTGTTCGTGTATACATGGAGACGAAAAAGGAAAACAAAAGCTTAGTGTGACGACCCAACCTGTCGTCTCATGTATTAGAGCCCCGTTTCCCCAATTTATTGCTCTTTCATGTTTTATTATCAGCAACGGATGAGTTAGAGTTGAATTGAATTGGTTTGGATAGGAAATGAGACACTTAGTCTCTTTAAGGAAGGTTTGGTTTGGAAAAGTCAACCGAATGTTGACTTATTAGTTAGAAGGCTCGGATGTGAATTCCGGTGATTCGGTTAGCTTCGAGAGGTGATTTGTGACTTAGGAGTGCGTTCGGAAGTGATTTTGGAAGTCCGGAGTAGAATTAGGCTTGAATTGGCAAAGTTGGCATTTTGGCGAATTTCGGTGGATAGGTGAGATTTTGATCCGAGGGTCGGAATGGAATTCCGAGAGTTGCAGTAGCTCTGTTAGGTGATTTTAGATATGTGTGCAAAATTTCAGGTCATTCAGAGGTGTTTTGGTCGGGTTTTTGATCGAATGCGTAATTCGGAAGTTTTTAAGAAACTTAGGCTTGAATTCGATGTGATTTGATGGTTTTAGCGTTGTTTGATGTGTTTTGAGGATGAGAACAAGTTTGAATGAGGTTTTAGGATGTATTGGTGTTTTTGGTTGAGGTCCCGGGGGCCTCGAGGTGAATTCGGGTGGTTGAACGAGAGGTTTTGAGGTGTGTTGCAGGTCTGTTGCTGCTGTCATCTGGTATTTCCGCTTCTGCGGAAATGGACCGCAGAAGCGGGTGAGCGATCGCAGAAGCGGCCAGGTGTGGGTTAGGGTAGTTCCGCATAAGCGGAAGTTGGTCGCTTCAGCGGGTCCGCATAAGCGGATATTGTACCGCAGAAGCGGTTTTGAGGGAACCGCAGAAGCGGAGTTTGAGTCGCATAAGCGAAGTCCGGGTTTTTAAGTGAAGACCGCTTAAGCGAATTTTTGGCTGCAGAAGCGGTCCCGCA